AATACAAACAGGTAAGAAAACCTCAGGATTATTGATTTTTGTTGAATGTGGAGAGGAAAGCTTGACATCATAAGATGCAAACCACACACGCTGTATATTGCAATGTCTCATGCAAGAATTTGTTAAACTCAAAGGCTGATTTCAAAAGGAAAAGAGCTAATGTTAAAAAGCAGAGAATCATAGAGTTCAATCAATGCTAACATCTTCTGATTCCTGCTTTTTTGTGGCAAGCAACAAGGCTTATGTTGAAAGATGTGAATTGAGCTTCCTTGGAATAAAGTCAGCCTCAGTGTTTAACCTAGCTCTCACCTGGAATGACTGATATTGTTTTCAAAGCTCGGAGAACTCTGAATGTTCTCAACGCTGAGACATTGCCCAGGTCCACAAACTCTGTCACATATCTGTAATAGGGGAGTTCACACACAAACACAATGACAGGATAAAAAGGAACAGTTGGGAGGTACAAGGGGCCTAACACCTTACACCAGTTACTTCTTACCTGGGATTACAGAAATAGTTTTCAAAGCTCTCAATACTCTGAAAGTTCGAAGAGCTGAAACATTGCCTAGGTTTACAAATTCTGTTATATACCTGTAGAATTAAATCACAGTTATTCAGAATTTAGGCAGATTTTATGCTACTTACTTGGGTCTTTCATTAAGACCTCTGGTGATTTGAGCAAATAATTTAAAAAGCAACACTCAGATGTTTACCTTTCACTGCAGTTTGCCTTGCATTAATATGATTTCATGGCCTTCAGTTAAACTTAACATGGCACTGAATTGAACCACAGTGAATTTACTTTGAAAACCTAAAATTTATCTAGACTAGATTGGTAAATTTGTAGAATGAAGTCAAAGGGATGGCTTCTTTTCTGCTTAAAGAAAAAAATGCAGGACATGAAATTAGCTTCTCTAATACTTAACTTCACTAGTGGCATCTGTAATATTTATGTTTACATTAAAACAGTATTCTACAATGCATAAATCATTTTTAGACCCCCAAATATTTAGCCTGAAAAATAATTTAAATATATATTGACACTAATTTCATGCCCTTGTTGCCCCTCAGTTGAAAAGAAGACATAAAACTAAACTTACGCAAAGGTAATGACAGTGAAATCAAGCCAGTTCCATGGGTCTCGAAGGAAAGTAAACGCTTCTAAACAAAAACCCCTCGCAATAATTTTTATAAGTGATTCAAATGTATATATTCCTGTAAAGGTGTACCTGGGTAAAATATTAAAAAGTTAGAAATGAGTACTATTGCAATTTTCTTATTACTAGATGATTACTTATTAATGAATACTAGATGGTTACTAAATGATTACTTATGAATCAAATGGAAGAATCAACTATTTTCAGAAATGGAGAAAATTTAAAGTAAATAAATCAGTAACTTCTAAAATATATCATGTTCATCATTATAAATATAATTGAATTCTAGGGCATTACATTTACGATGCATTTTGTGTATGTCAACTTTAGTGTGAATAGGTAGGTCTTCGTTTTCAACTTTTTTGTAGAAATTCAAAGAAATATTTTTTTAAAATGATAGGTTTCTACAAATAATTCTACATATAAATTTAGACTAATGAACATTCAATCCATTTTCCTGGTTCAAGAACACTGTGAGAACAAATTACTGTCTACTGCAGTGGTTCTCAACCTTCTTGGACTAGTGGCATGCCTCACTGGAATTCAAGGCACCCTTCTGTAACTTTTGTGAATTGAATAGCACCCAATTTCAAAAGCTAATTTATATATTACGGTGCTTACCTCCTTATAAGGGACTGGGCAGTAGGGGTGGGGATTGTCCAGGCAGAGACGAGCCTGAACTTGGTTTATTTGCTTTGCTTACCTGCTTTTCTTCTCAAACCTTGTGGTACCCTTCAAAGGATCGAGTGGCAACCCAGGGAAACCCAGTGCCCTGATTGAGAATCACTGGTCTATTGTGTGACTCATTTGCTTCTAAGACATCTTGTATTAATTCTAATGGATAACAAGGTCCTGCATTCCTCAAAGCACTGAAGTATGCGTTTAAAGTTCCATTTCAACAGGAATACTAGTGCTTATGTGATGTCCTGAACTGGCATCTGCAACTGTGAGACTGTAGTTCTACCATATAGTCTTGCATACCACACACCCCCAAATAAAACACAGACCTTGTTTTTGGAAAGCAGAATGCAGAGAAAAGGATTTCTCTAAAGCAGTTGTTCTCAATCTTTTTAGATACAGGACACTCCTTAGAAAATGCCAAGTCCGGGCTTTCACTCATTTTGCAAAGAACTCAGAGAACTCATAACAGGGAAAAATGTTTTTAACACCGTGAATTTTTATTTGAAATCATTTGGATTATCTTGTGAATCATGTCTGCACACCTAATTGTGCTAAAAAGGTGTACACCCTGCAGAATGCTTAAAACATCCCAAGACACTACAGAATGCATGCAGCAACAGCTTGCTCACCATCAAGCAGCTCATAGTCTCTTTAGCCAAATGCTACTGCCTCACCAGTAGCTGAGACGATTAACACTGGACTCTGCCCTGGTCTTTGCAACCCCAGGGAGAAGCAGCAGCAATCTTAGCAGCTATGAGTCATAGTGCTGGCTTGCTCTATTCCACCCCACTTCTATTCTAGCAAAGAAAAATCAGTTTCCCTATGAACCCTAATTTTGGAGGGCTGATTTTGAGGGGACAACTGTGTGTGTTATGCAAGTAAATATGATATTTTAACCACCTCATGAAAAACAGAAAGAGTTTATAGTGAAGCTGAGAACAGTATTATCCATTAACATGTACCTTACTTATTTCTGTATCCCAATTATTTTTCTGAGAGAAAGATTTAGAATAATATAAATATTTCATTCAGTGTAACAGTAGAAATGCCATATACTGGCTGTTGTGAACATCCTTCACAGTAAAAAAATATAATTTATCCTAGAGAGACATTCATAATATAGGAATATACTTCAAGAAAGTATGCTTAACTTACTCTACATTCTTTGTCCAATCCGGGGGGTTACTCATGGTCATAAATACACAATTGGTCAAAATGGTGCACATAATAAGCATGCTGAATAATGTAGGTTAATAGTCAAGGAAGATACAACAGTAAGTCACACCATCCTGTTAACAACACATTTGAAAGTCATCAACCCAACCCATCCCTTTGACTTTGTTACGAATTTTAGATCTATTTTAAGGCAGTTTTAACCTAGTAGTTTTGTCTAGCAGATTACATTTATTTTCTTTTCCTCCTTTTTCCTCGCCTTCTAAGTAAGTCCTGAAAGTTTTATAACCATTTTCTTAGTTTTTGCTTGAGTGCTAATGGGCAACAAGCCACGATTCAAATATACAATAATTCATACTGTTTGCATGACAAACTTAAACGATAGAACTAGTAGGTGAGTTTCATTTTATTTTTTAAGCACATAGAAAAATAACATATTAGCCTCTTACTTCTAGAGACTTAGCACTAAATTCGTTGGTGGCTTAAGCAGAAAGGACTCTGTTGATATGGGGAATACCCACCTGTAGTCATGGTGATTTTAACCTCTAGATTCACTGTGAATCAGATCTGTAGTAATTTGCAGCAGAATTAATTCTAGTTTCTAAAATATGTATCCATTAATGCATCAACTTCATAACTGTAGTCAGTGTGCATTAACCTTCCTGACAGTGCTCATCTAGACAAGTCTTGATAAACAGTATTCCTTTCTTCCTCCTTTCTCCCTTAACCCTCTCAGGTATGATATGTTGCTAGCAGAAAAATATTCTTAGCAGTTAGGTTACAAAATTCTGTCCTAACTTAAATTCCCAAACTTTCCTCAGATGTAGTTCCATATTGACTGCATTAATGCTGGTGTGCAAAAGGGCATGAATAGTTGTAGAGTTCACATCCCAAAGAAAAATTATCTTTAGTTAACTGAAGATGAGAAAGCATTCTCATTGATGATACTGCTAGTAGTAGTTGGAGATACAACAGGCCCCAAGGTTACAAATCAGTGCAACAAACACTAGATATACTCCAGGTGAACGTCCAGATGAACGCACACATGCAGGTGTTTTTTTGTTCGAGGGTACGCCCCTGCACCCACAATCTGGCACATGGCAAATCAACCTGTGCTGGTCCCAGCAGCCATACCTGGGGTTCTGGGGGCCTTCTGGGGCAGCGGCAGCACCAATGCAGCTGCTCAAAGCCAGAGAGTGGCTTTGGCGGGCTAGCCTCCATTTCTGGTGGTGCAGTCTGCTTCTGCATGCTCTGCACAGCTTTGCTTAGCAGTGTTTTTGGGGTTTTTTTACACCAAGATCTGGTGTCAAATTCTGGCACCACACTGCTAATTAGCAACACACCAAATGGGTGCATGTGTACCATGTGTGGTTTGCAGTGCCTCCAACAGCTTTGCAGCACCGCAAACTACATGCATACACCCGTCTGGACATACCCCTTGTGTCATTGTATCAAAAGAGCCAAACTATCCTCTGGCTATTTTTCCTTTTTCTACTTACATGAAATAAGGATTATCAGTTTCAGATGCATACATTCTCTAACAGTAAATCTTTCAACTGTTGACCAGTTGAATGCAATCAAAACATACAGCATTATCATGCACTTGCTGAAGATGCTGTACTATGTTTCTTCACTAACTGTCCTACCAATATGTTCTTTAATATAACTGCCTTACAAATATATAAATAAATAAATAAATAAATAATAGATAGATATTAGAAAAATAACTGAATGGAAACTTGGGTAGTCAAAGAAAATATTGTTATTGCAGCTAAACAGTCACCCAATACTATTTTCTAGAACCACTCAGAAATACGGATCACAGGAAGCTAGTAAGAAAGAATGACTACTGAATGCTGTTGAATTCTATTTATCCTGTAACTTGAAAGTGGTTAATTACTATCTCATGATCAGTGGTAAGGAAAGCTGATGACTGCTTGTTAAGAATCAGCACAGAAATCTGACCTCCACTCATTTCCAACAAGAAAACATCAATAGGAACAATTTGTGTAGTATCTCTACCATATATAGGCCTACAACTTAAACTCATTGGGCGCATCCAGATAAGCCCACATGTGCTTCCTGCAGTATCTCAAACTCCTTTGAGATGCTGCAAGAGGCACGTGCATGAATGAGAAAATGTTCCCTGCACAGCAAATTTGCAGTGTGGGGGCAAAATTAGACCCTGGGATATACAGGGATCAAAAAAACCTGCGGACAAAAAATGTGGGGCAGAGCAGGGCATGGTCCCAGATCATGTCCTGAGGCAACCAGAAGCTGGGTCCTCCACAGAGATGCTGGGGCTGCCAGAGCATCTGTATGGTTGACCCTCGCCTTGGTGCTGAAGCACACTGCCTGCCCCCTGAGCCCCACTGATCCCTGCCTCGCCCAGTCCCCCCCGAGCCCTCCCAATTCCTGCCCCGCCTGGCCCTATCCCCTCCATGCCCCCTGAGCTCCCCCAATCCCTGCCCTGCCTAGCTCCATTGCCGTCTGACCCCTGCCCCCTGATCCCTGCCCCACCTGGCCCCATCCCC